CCGTGACTTCAATGACCCACACGTCGCTGGGTCACGTCAGCTGTCAGGACATCAGCTCAACAGGTCACGTCAGCTGACATGTTCAGCTGATCAGCTGACATCAATCAGCCAACAAGCTGACATCAACACAGCTGACATCAACGTCACGTCAGCTGACATCGTCACGTCAGCTGACATCAACACGTCACGTCAGCTGACATCAACAGGTCACGTCAGCTGACATCAACAGGTCACGTCAGCTGACATCAACAGGTCACGTCAGCTGACATCAACAGGTCACGTCAGCTGACATCAACGGGTCACGTCAGCTGACATCAACAGGTCACGTCAGCTGTGTCATCCAACAGCGTCGCGTCAGCTGACAGCTCATACAGGTCAACGTCAGCTGACATCAACACAGCTGACATCAACAGGTCACGTCAGCTGACATCAACAACAGGACATCACAGGTCACGTCAGCTGACATCAACAAACAGGTTCACGTCAGCTGACATCAGGTCACGTCAGCTGCGGTCACGTCAGCTGACATCAAGCTGACATCACAGGTCACGTACATCTGACTTCAACAGGTCGTCAGCTGATATCAACGGGGTCACGTCAGCTGACATCAACAGGTCACGTCAGCTTGACATCAAAGTCACGTCAGCTGACATCAACAGGTCACGTCAGCTGACATCAACCAGGTCACGTCAGCTGACAACAGGTCACGTCAGCTGACATCAACAGTCACGTCAGCTGACATCAACAGGTCACGTCATGCTGCATCAACGGGTCACGTCAGCTGACATTCAAACGTCGCTGGTCACGTTCAGCTGACATTTCAGCTGACATACAGGTCTCGGCTGACATCAACAACAGGTCGCGTCAGCTGACATCAACAGGTCACGTCATCTGACTTCAACAGGTCGCGTCAGCTGATATCAACAGGTCACGTCAAGCTGTCATCAACGTCACGTCAGCTGTGTCACGTCAGCTGTCACGTCAGCTGACATCACTCATCAGCTGACATCAACAGGTCACGTCAGCTGACATCAAACAGGTCACGTCACGCTGACATCAACAACGTCAGCTGACATCAACCGGTCACGTCAGCTGACATCAAACAGGTCAGTCAGCTGACATCAAACAACAGGTCACGTCATCTGACTTCAACAGGTCGCGTCGGCTGACATCAACAGTCGCGTCAGCTGACATCAACAGGTCACGTCATCTGACTTCAACATCACTGATATCAACAGGTCACGTCAGTTGACTATCAACAGGTCACGTCAGCGACATCTTCAACAGGTCACGTCAGCTGACATCAACAGGTCACGTCAGCTGACATCAACAGGTCACGTCAGCTTGACATCACACACGTCAGTGCATAAAGTTCAGCTGACATCAACAGGTCACGTCAGCTGACATCAACAGGTCAGTCAGCTGACATCAACAGGTCACGTCAGTTGACATAAACAGGTCACGTCAGCTGACATCAACAGGTCACGTCAGCTGACATGTCACGTCATCAAACAGGACATCAACAGTCACGTCGCACATCACAGGTCACGTCAGCTGACATCAACAGGTCACGTCAGCTGACATCAACAGGTCACGTCAGCTGACATCAACAGGTCACGTCAGCTGACATCAACAGGTCACGTCAGCTGACATCACAGTCAGTCACATCAAACAGGTCACGTCAGCTGACATCAACAGGTCACGTCAGTTGACATCAACAGGTCACGTCACTGACATCAACAGGACATCAACAGGTCACGTCAGCAGACATCAACAGTCACGTCAGCTGACATCAGGTCACGTCAGCTGACATCACGGTCAGCTGACATCAACAGGTCACTCAGCTGACATCAACAGGTCACGTCAGCTGACATCAACAGGTCACGTCAGCTGACATCAACAGGTCACGTCAGCTGACATCAACAGGTCACGTCAGCTGACATCACCAAACACGTCCCAGGAAGTCAAAACATGTTACACGGCATTGTCTAAATCGCAAGAGAATATTTCCTTCGAACGCTCGTCGCGAATAAAGATCAAAAGGTTGAACGTAATAAACTCGAGAAAAAGAAAAAACGGGAATGAAATAAATGGAAGCTAAAACGGAGAAAATGGGGCACGTGCGGTTTGGCAATGATACACACCGGGGCTTGTTGTCGTTTGGCCTTCAAAGGTCGTAGATCTTGGAGCATCGACGGGAAATAGAGAGAGAGAGAGAGAGAGAGAGAGAGAGAGAGAGAGAGAGAGAGAGAGAGAGAGAGAGAGAGAGAGAGAGAGAGAGAGAGAGAGAGAGAGAGAGAGAGAGAGAGAGAGAGAGAGAGAGAGAGAGAGAGAGAGAGAGAGAGAGAGAGAGAGAGAGAGAGAGAGAGAGAGAGAGAGAGAGAGAGAGAGAGAGAGAGAGAGAGAGGGAGAGAGAGGGAGAGAGAGAGAGGGAGGGGAGAGAGGAGGGGGAGAGAGAGGGGAGAGAGAGGGGGAGGGGGAGTGGGAGGGAGAGGAGGGGAGAGAGAGGGAGAGGGAGAGGAAGAGGAGAGGGAGAGGGGAGAGAGAGAGAGAGAGAGGAAGAGAAGCGAGAAAGAAAGAAAGAGAGAGAGAGAGAGAGAGAGAGAAAGAGAGAGAGAGAGAGAGAGATGATGATGATATTCATGATCTACACTGATTAGATCCTTGTAAGAGCATGTCTCATAACTCTTATAAATCCTTCACCTGAACTGTGAACGTAATATACAAACTCCTATGATTACTGCGAAGATGATGATATGCGAAAAGCAACCCTATGACAAGGTATGTGAATGCGGGTATCTGCATTCAGCCTACAACGTTGCAGCGTCTGTGTTCAATTCAGTGAGTACCCTTGTTCACTGTTCAACGACGTTCACATGATTTCCATCTGACTCTACCAACGGCATCTCAGTGAGCCTCCTTTGTCTCGTTTAGAAATATAAATAAACAAAAGAGAGCGAGTTGAAACAGCTATCTCTATCCTCCGAAGAAGATCAAAAGAAACAGACCACCCAGAGAAACAAAACAAACAAACAGATCGCGCCCATAAATATTTATTTTTTTTCCTAACCCTACGAAGATTTAATAAGCTAAGAAGGCGTTCCAACACCTTACGTACTATGAAAAAAGGGTTGATTTATGGCCTCCGCACCCCTTAAAAAACAAAAAAACAAACAAAAACAAAAAAAGGCTAATCCATTAAATCTACGACAGTTTGGCATCAATCAGAACTATCGCGAGAAGGTGATTATCTTCATCATTTCTTGGATGTTAGAGGATTTTCACCAGTGGGATGAAAGGACGTTCACGAAATGCATATCATACCATGCTTATTTTTAATTATTTTATTGTATATTGAATCATTTACTGAACTGGTTAGTCCCTTTTGATCTTTTTCATAACTACGTGGGAAAATAAAATCAGAATAGAAATAGAAATAAGCACAAAGAGAGGAAATGGGGACCGAGGTATGGCTAGCATGACAGAAATTCAATGCATGCCATGGTAGCCTTGCCAAATAAACTTAGCGGTATCTTATTTAAAATCAGTGAACGTTCAGATTTAATGATATCATCGTTCTGATCAAATACAAAACTCTGATCTTTAAGCTGCGGCAAAAAAAAAAGTATTTCGTCCCCATCTTCAAAAAGAAAAGTTTTCTACGAGTGAATATCGCCTTTTGTACGAATTGTTTTTTACATTAGTTACTGCTAAGACAGTCGAGAAGAAAATGGGATCTCTCCTTTAAACGGATGGTTAACTTAAGTATATTTTGAGGTCCCTCGTTCAAATTCCCGAGGGACTGATTCGGAAAGGGACGTTCTTCCGAGATATAAATGAATAAATAAACCAAATATCTAGAGCTTCTCTGAACAAGTCTGCTTTAAGATAAACCATATTCGCTGTTTATAAAAGGCCATCAATAAAAAACATAAGATGATAATAATGATGACAATAATAATAATAACAATAAAAATAATGATAATAATAACTATACAAAAAAAAGAAGTTCATTCCTAGGAGAGGAGAAAAAGATCTCAACTTGGCCATATTCTTAAAAGGATCCAAAACTCTCTATTGAATACACGATATCAAATACAAAATGACACAAACTTCTGTCATAAAACACAAGACGTTATCACAGTCATGAACCTTCGATGTACCGCACATATTTACCAACAACAGTCGTAATGTAGTCGAGTATGACAGAACGACAAATAAACATAATTCACTTTTTAACTTAAATTGCTATGACATTGCATCGCTCAAAAAGTTAAGTACAGGCGCGAGAGACAGCTGTCTGACACGTGATGAGCGTCAGAATAAAGTAGAGTGTACTTTGCATTGTATTATTAAGATCTGTTGACTGTACTTTGCATTGTAAGTAAACTTGTAAGTTAAGATCTGATTACCGTGAAGGTCTTTGAGGTGACGATTTGGGGGGGACATTTTTTGTTTTTCTGTTTTGTAAAAGAGAAACTCAACTAGACGAACAAAATAAAGAAAATATCGTAAATGCAAAGTCTTCCACCTCCTAACTCATCCCCATTTATAAGATATAATAATGATAAAAATAAAGACAGCACACACACACACACACACACACACACACACACACACCACACACACACGCACACACACCACACCACACCCACACGACACCACACACACACACACACACACACATATATATATATATATATATATATATATATATATATATATATATATATATATATATATATATATATATTATATATATATGCGTAATATGAATTAATAATATAATAAAAAGTTATGGAAAAAATAACTAGCTTCCTCCACCACTAAACCACCCCCCTCTCCCTCACACAAGATCAATTCATAACAACAAATAAACAATTCATAAAGACACCCCCCTCCCCCTCCCCCCCTCAAAAAATCATAACCCCCCCCCCCCAAAAAAAAAAAGAAAACGAAAAAGAAGAGAAAAAAAAAAACCAAAGAGCTCCCGACCCTACCTTGGAGTCGATGCCGATCGTGGTGTTGCAGTCCTCGCAGGTGTTCGCGAAGACGGCCTCGTAGCACTTGATGCAGTAGGGATGGTCATCCTTCAGGACGTAGCGCTGCCCAGTGAGGGACTCGTCGCACTGCCAGCAGCAGAAGTGGCCCGAATGCCAGTCCTTGGACATGGCTTTGGTGTACTCCCCGCTGAAAATGAGCTGTGGAGGGAGAGAGAAGGAGGGGGTGGTTAGAGAGGTCGGTGCTGGAGGGAGGGGTGGGGGGGTGGAGGAGAGAGCGTGGGGGTGGAGGGGAGGGCGTGGGGGTGGAGGGAAGGGGATGGGGGGTGGAGGGGAGGGTGTAGGGGTGGAGGGGAGGCCGTGAGGGTGGAGGGAATCGGGAAGGAGAGAATAAAGGTACTGTCACACTAGCACTTTTTCCGTCAATTTTTTGACAATTTTCTGAAATTTTGTCATTTTTTGAGCGAATTGTCGATTCTCCAGTCAGACGATAATGATCGTTTCCGTCTGAAAACCTTTCCGTCAACTTTTTCAGCCAAGCAAAGTCAGATCAAGAGCTATATTCGAGAATGTATGTATTTATGTTAAATAAAATTGTCAAAAAAATTGACGGAAAAAGTGCTAGTGTGACACGGCCTTAAGATATCAACGTGTGAGGATGGGAGAATAGATAGAGAGAGATCAAAATATGAGGAGACACGACAGAGAGACCATGGCATGAGGAAAGAAGAGGGAGACCAAGGTATGAGATAGAAAACAGAAACAGACCAACGTAGGAGAAAACAGAGAGAGGTCAAGTTGTGAGGAGAGACGATAGAGAGTTCAAGGTATGAGGATAAAAAATAGAGATCAAGGCATAACGACAGAAGATAGAGAGGCCATGATATGAGGAGAGAAGAGAGTTATCGTCATGAGGAGAGAAGATAGAGACCAAGGTATGAGGAGAGAAAATAGAAAGAGAGATCAAGTTATGAAGAGATAAGATAGACGTAGATAGACCGGGAAATTAAGTGATATATGGGAAGTGCTTAAACTAATGTACAGAGATATAGACAAGCATAAAAATATTCATATAAGCAATGCAACAGAGATATAGACAAACATAAAATTATACATAAACATATAAGCAATGCAAAGACACATTAATACCCAAAACACCAAAAAATCCGAACCGACCGAATCCAACCCAAGAACACGCAAAGCCGCTCCGCAAATGGCCGCCACCGGTTCGTCCCGGGAATGAAAAAAAGAACCGCAGGACGCTCTCCCGAAGACGAATTCCGTCGGTACCGGTCTCTCGTCGGGCCCGAAATACGGCTGCCGCTTTCCGGTATCGAGAAGAAAATTTAGGTGGTCACGGATACGCGGTTTCTGTCACGTGCTTTTCGACAATAAATCGGGAGGCGTTCCTGTCGGGTCGTTTAGCCCTCGTCGCGTAATTGCTAACAGCGTGCTTAAATATAGCCATTTGTCCTCGCTGCGACTGAGCCCCTCCTTCTCTCTCTATATCTCTCTGACTCTCTCTTCTCTTCTTTCTTTCTCTCTCTTCTCTCTTCTTCTCTTTCTCTCTCTCTTTCTCTTTCTCTTCCCCTTTCCGTCTCTCTTAATCTTTCTCTCCCCCTCTTCTCTCTCCTCTTTCTCTCTTCCTCTTTCCCTCTTCTTCCTCTTTTCCCCCCCTCTCTCTCTCTTCCTCTTTCCCTCTCTTTTAATCTTTCTCTCCCCCCCCTCTCACACACACAAACGTATACGTCGTTAAATCTAAAAACAAAAATATTCAGACAGACATCTACATATAAATACTATAATTTCGATGCTAAGACACTGTCAGTGGTGTTTACGAACTCAACACATCTTTTTTCACATCTTTCTTCTTTCTATTTCCATTTTTCTTCTTTCTATTTCCATATCTTAAACGTCCTGTCTTTAGATATATTCCCGCATTATCTCCCTCCATTTCTCGTGAAAAATGTCCGCATAGTCTCCAAGTCTTTCTCCGCCTGCAAACGACCTGCTCACGTCGCAGCCTCACGAGAACGACTTATCCTATAAATAAATGAAATCAGAAAGGCGCTTGAGAACGACTCATCCTAAATAAATGAAACCAGATAGGCGCTTGAGAACGACTCACAGAACGACTCATCCCGAACAAATGAAACCAGAGAGGCGCACGAGAACGACTCATAGAACGACTCATCCCAGACAGACGAACCAGAGGGCGAGTCGAGCGCTTCCTCGCACCGAACCTCTCCTCTACGACCTGTCAGCGAGCACCATTCATCCTACTCGCTTCTGTCGACGAGCATCTCCGAAGACGCGCCACGAGGGAGTTCCATCCGTCAAGAAATTATGCGAAAATGGACGACGAGTTTAGTGAGTCTTCGTTCAAGATGGCGTCTCGGTCCGACATCCGAAAGCTGTGATAAAACCGGACTCATCTTATCGTGGTGTAAGCATCCGGTGTTGTGTGTGTGTGTATGTGCTTCTGTGCGTTGTTTACGTGGGGGTTCTCGGACGATTTTATGCGTCTATGCGGGCCTATGTCGCGCGTGGTTTAGACACAGTAATGAAGAGGTAATCATATCATCATTACAAGCGGGTATTCTCAAGGTCTATATAACTACTTATATAGACCTTGGGTATTCTCTCTGAACGTCGAGAGCAAATCTGGCACCGGTTTGATATTAAACTCGAAGAGATCGTTCGAGTGGCGAGGCAGCGGGCCGAGTGGAGACCGTTAACAGAGCTAATATGTAACAGGGCATACCGGGCATACACGTCGTCTTCGGTGCAGTGACATGCGCTTCGCCAAGAGCAACAGAAGGGAAGCACGAATAGCGCATGTTACCCTCATCTCTCCTCCACAGAACGGGACGGGGAGTAAACACACACACAAACACAAACATATACATATACATATACATGCATACACATATATATATATATATATAAATATATATAATACATACACACATATGATGTTATGTGTATACGTGGTATATATATATTATATATATATATATATATATATATATATATATAATATATATATATATACATATATATACTATATATACTATACATATATATATATACTATTATATATATATATATATATATATATATATAATATATATAGAGAGAGAGAGAGAGAGAGAGAGAAGAGAGAAGAGAGAGAGAGAGAGAGAGAGAGAGAGAGAGAGAAAGAGAGAGAGAGAGAGAGACAGATATTTACATATATATATGAGTGCGTGTGTGTGTGTGTGTGTGTACATATATATACACATACATACATATATACTATATATGTATACATATACATATGTGTATACATATGTATATGTAAACATACATACATACATACATACATATATTATATATATATATATATATATATATATATATATATATATATAATATATATATATATATATATATATATAATAAACACACATATAATACATAAATACACATGCATTATATGTGTATATATATATATATATATATATATATATATATATATATATATATATATAATAATATATATAATATATATATAATATATAAATATATAATCGGGAAGGTAGAAATGAAGTATTGATGGGGAGGTAGTTAGAGGAAAGGAGGGAGAGGGAGGGAGGGAGGGAAGGGAGAGAGAGGAGGAGAGAGGAGAGCGAGAGAGAGAGAGAGAGAGAGAGAAGAGAGAGAGAGAGGGAGGGAGGGAGGGAGGGAGAGGAGGAGAGAGGGGAGAGGGAGAGAGGGAGAGAGGGGAGAGAGAGGAGAGAGGGAGGGAGAGAGAGAGAGAGAGAGGAGAGAGAGAGAGAGAGAGAGAGAGAGAGAGAGAGAGAGAGAGAGAGAGAAGAGAGAGAGAGAGAGAGAGAGAGAGAGAGAAAGATAGAGAAAGAGAAAAGAGAGAGAAAGAGAAATGAGAGAGAGAGAAAGAGAAAGAGAAAACAGAAGAGAGAAAGAGAGAGGCAGATAGACAGACACAAACAGACAGACAGATAAATAGAGAGAGAGAGAGAGCGAGGCGGGGAGAGCGTGGGAGAGCCCAAGAGGGGCAGTCCTGGCATGAATCAAGACGCTGAACGGGCGCACAAGGTATAAATATATCTGATAGAGCAGGTGGCAACTGCTGGGCTTGCGGGCGTGTGCTGCTGGTTGCGGGCGGAGTGTGGGCGGCCTGTGGGTATGAGTTTTGTGGTGTGGGTTGTAGAGAGGGGTTGTGGGTGTGGGTTGTAGAGAGGGTTTGGGTGTGGTTTTGTGGTGTGGGTTGTAGATGAGGGTTTGGGTGTGAGTTGGTGTGGATTGGTACATGGCTGTAGGTATATGAGTTGTACATATGAGTTGTAAGGGTATAAATTATGGGTACTTGGTGTGGGTACGATTTGTGGGTACTTCTGGGTATGGATTATGGACATGGGTTGTACATACGAGTGTAAGGGTATATACTGTGGGTACCGGTTGTGGGTACGAGTTGAGGTTATGGTTTGTAGATGTGCAGTGTGTTATGAGCTGACACTATGATTCGGCGCATGTTATAATTTGTGAATGACATGGACATGAGTGAATGTGTTGGCGTCGGATTCGTGAGGATGGTAGTATGTGTTAACAGCGTTGCGCAAAGTCAGAATGTGTGTAAACGACAGATTGTGGGTGAAGAGAAGTGTGTTGTGTGTGTGTCTGTGTGTAAATGTCTCAGATCAGGATGCTGTTTTGAAGTACAACGTGCCAGAATGTGGTATGTGTATGTGTAGTTCGAAGGAAAGTGCCATGAGAGTATGAGTGATGTACATTAGTTAGTGTATTGTGTAGTTCAAAGGAAAGTGCATGAAGACGAGTGGATGTACATTAGGTTGTGTACGTGTATGTAATTCAAAAGAGAGTGTATGAGCGTACATGAGAGCACGTGTATTAAACAGAGCATATATGTATCAAAGGACAGTGCATGTGTGTATGTGTTTGTGAATAGGTGTACCAGATAATACATATATAGGCAATATATTTAAGTAGCATACTGTATGAGTAGATGTATCAGTTAGTACACTGTATCAGTTAGTATACAGTATAAGTGCATAAGTATACACAGTATCAACGTGTATGTAAATTAGGGAGTGAGGTACCGACGGGATGGGTAATGAGATAATGGATATTTAATGTGAATTAAATAAATGACAGATACAGTGAGGGAAATGAGAACTTGT